TGTTTGATCCATCTCAACAAGCATCACTACAACAACAAACATATGTACATCCAAATCCATATGATGCTGCTTATTTTCAACAATCACAACAACAACAACAACTTACACAACAAGGCTTAGATACAGTGCCACCAGGCAGTTATAATCGCTAAACGTTTTTCTTTTTCTCTCTCTCTCTCTTTTTCTTTCTCTATATATGTATTTGTGAATGTGCGTTTTTTTTTCTCTTGTTCGGGTTCTACGTCTATCTCTCTTGTTGTGTGATACATATTTCTATTTAAACAACATACAACTTTCTTTGTTTTTTCTTCTTTATCATCGTTCTTTATGTCTGTCTACCTATTTGTCTCATCCTCTTTTTTTTTTGGTTCTTTTCCGTTTTTTTTTTCATCATCTGTATCCTAAAGTTAAGTTGCATCTCTCTTTATTCCTTATATTCACACAACAAAAAACCTCTAAGTTGACAAGATTTGACAAAAAAAGAGGCAAGTTTAATAAATTATTGTTCCCTATCTAACGGATTTTAGACAACGTATAATAATAGTTCACTTTTGTTTTCGTCTCAATGTCTTCGTCATCAGTTCTTCGACCTGAAATTCTTGTTGTTGGTAATCGATGTTATCGTATTAATCCATCATCTTTACCAAGTCTTGAACCAGTTGATAATCAACAACATCAAGTATATCGAGAAGAAGAAGAAACAGATTATTATGTTGATAATCTAGATGATGATGAGCCACGTTGTAAACCACAACAGAAAAGATCAACAATTGAATTAGAAGAAAAATCTCAAATTGGTATTATAAGATTTTTTTATGATAAAATCAAATTCTGTGAACATAAAGTTTCATATTGATTTCAACAATTAATTGTCTTAACATTTATGATTCCATATTATGAGTCGAAGTAGACCTAAATAAGTTTCTTAAAATTTCAAATTGATTCATGTGCTCATAGATCTTTGTTTTGATGTCATTATAATTTGAGTTTAGAAGAAAGTATATATGAAAAGATCAAATAACGCTAGCTTTTGATCATAAATTGATCTTATATGCTTTGGATTATTTTAAAAGTTTCAGTTAAAATAGAGCCTTCCTTTTTAAAGTATTACATGTTGGCAATAAGACAATTTTCGGACATTTTTTAGGTAGATTATTTTAAAGATATTCTAAGAACACCGATATCTGTTTATTAATGAAACGTATATTTAATATTTCATAATTTGATTTCTTCTTAAATATCTCTATATGGATTCTAATGCTAACGTATCAGTGTTAATATCAAAATCACGATGATAAAGCAGAAATTCTCTTGGACTTTTGAAAACTTTATTAAAACCTATGTATATAAAGAGTTACTTTTGAGATAGTTAGAGCGATTTTCTCGAAAGTAATATTTGAAAATAATAATAAATTTTCTCTTCGCACAATGTAATCAATGCAACTTCTTTTACTTTTTCTTTTCACAGTTCGTGAAGAAGAATCAATTGAAGATGATGATGATACAATTGATTATCTAGATAAAGAAAATATGTTTGTATATGAAATGGATGTTGCTCCTGCATTTTATGGTGTTTTGATTGGTAAAAATGCTGAAAATAAACAAAAGTTAGAACAAGATACTAATACAAAAATAATATTTCCACGTCGTGATGAAACCGGTACAGTTAAAATTCGTAGTCGTACTAAAGCAAATGTTCAATCAGCTCGTACACGAATTGAATTAATTATTGATCGAAATCGTCAAATGCAACCATTTACACATTTTCTTTCTATTCCAATTTGTCAATCATCATCATCATTATCAAAAAATTTCAAACAAAAATATGAAGAATTTAAGAAAAATGTTCTTGAACAATGTTCAAATGAACGAGGAATAACTAATGAATTATTTCAACAAGCAAATAAATTACATTTAACAATAGCAACATTTGTTCTATTATCAAAATCAGAAATTAATTTTATTAAAGATACTTTACAAGAATGTACAAAAACATTACTTAAACAATTTATGCCTACAGATAAAGAACGTTTTATAGTACAATTAAAAGGACTTGAATTTATGAATGATGATCCAAGTTTTGTTGATGTACTTTATGCTAAAGTACAATTAATTAATCAAACAAATACAACTCGTTTACAAAATTTTCTTGATCGTTTAAATGAAGAATTACTTAATACAGGTCTTATGAAACAAAAATTTGAACGTATTAAATTACATGTAACATTAATGAATTCATTATTACGTAAAGATGATACAGGAATATTAGAAGCACAAAAAACAGCACGTGGAAGAGTAAAAAATCAAGAACGTGAATCATTTGATGCAAAAAATATTTTACGTCTTTTTGGTCAATATGATTTTGGACAAATTGAGTTAAATGAATTACATTTAAGTATAATGCATGAACCAGATCGTCAAACAGGTTATTATGGCTGTGAAACAAAAATTTTATTAAAACCAATTATTTAAAAGGCTTTTTTTCCATCTTGGTCAACATTTGGCAACGATCATTGGATGTTATAATAAATATGATTGGACAGATTTCAGAACTTATATAATTTGTTAAATTTTTTTTCTTGTCAATGAGAAAATATGATCGTTTATTTTTATTTAAAAGTCGTTTGATTGTTTTAGAGAAAAGTTTGAAAGTTCTATATCTATACGTTATAATTTCTTGGATATTTCTTTCTAATACATTAAAATATCGACAGATATAATATACTATTTCGATATTTTCTGTAAATTGCATTGACAGTTATTGATATTAGGTTTTTTGTTTGATGCTTATAAATATTAATATATTGCAAGATTTTTTGCAGTTCTTTTGGTAAAAAGAAATGAGGGCAAGAATTTTACAATGATATTGTACGATTGTATTAAACAAGACGAACAGCCAGTGACGTATTTAAGGGGGGGGGGGGGGGGGGGGGGAGAGATTGAGGGGATCAATCCCTCTTTCCAAAAAAAAAAGAAAATTTCTTTTATTCACAATATATATATATAAATGTTGTTCAATGAAATCCAAAAAACTTCATAATTTAGCGTTTAATATAACATTTATTTTAATCAACTAATGTAAGTTGTGGGTTTGTACCGACTCTTTGCTTGGTATTATTAATGTCAAAGATATGTACGAGGTATAATGTTATGATTCTGTTTTTCTATTTTTATGATCTATTTACATGTAATGTATTAATGTGAATTTCTCAAGGATTCAAAAAAATGAAAAAAATTCTATGCCTTTGATAAATTTTAGGTCAAAATCACGAAAAAAAAGGCAGTTCTGATGATGAAATGGACATTTATTTGGTTGTTTTGAAATTCATTGATTAAAAGGAATCCCTTAACGAAGCATATTCAATGAGTTTGACTTTTGTCAAAATCATGAGAATTGAGACGATAAGAATATCCATTTTAATTGACGAATTTGAAATAAACCGAAAGAAATATTCGTTTCATCATTCAAAATGTTATTGTTTTCATTTTTTTAAGTGCCTGAATTACGTGTAAACCATGATCGAAAATAAACAAAAAGGAACTATGTCATAATCGGGGATGCTCTGACATTGCTAGAGTAGAGAGTGGGGTTTAATGGCTTAGAAAATCTATTTGAAGATTTTTGCTAAAATTTATCGGATTCTGCGAGAGATTCAAGCGGACAAGTATTTAAAAAAAAACGTTTAATCACACTAATCGCGGTTCTCGTTGGGATGCTTTCATACCCATTCAGAAAACAATAAAATTTTATGTGAAAGCACTTTAAAAGGCAATCTCTGTATTAAGAAAAGATCGAAAACTTTTTTCATAATATTTGAGGATGTTTTGTAGAGAGAAATAGTATTTTGATACCTATTTTTTTATCAAAAATGCTGTTATCAGAGACATTGATCCTTTTTTCTTTATAGAAAGCATGATTTTTTCGAGCATTTTCACTCAAATTTTCATGTTTTCTGAGTGAGCGTAAAAGCAACAGAAGCAACGATCAATGCGTTTAAACGCGTTTTTCGAAATTCCTGTATGCTTGAGGAGTTGAGAGATGTTTTTGAGAATTGATGAGAAAACAATAAATAAAAATATTGGATGTTTTCTAGAGTAAAGTGGATATTTTTTAAGATTGGGACATTACAACAGCGTGGATCGTCCAACTATCCTGCTTTCGATCGCTCGGAACGGTCATGTACAAAAAAAACTCGATCCCCTCTTCTGAAAAATCCTGGCTACGTCCCTGCGAACAGCGATAGAAACTATCATTGATACTAATAGATACTTTTAAAATTTCTATGTGATCGTTAAGTTAATATAACAATGGTTAGTATTGCTAGCATGGCAACTTGTTTCAATACTCAGAAGAAAAAGCTTGTGAATTTATATGGAATATTCACTATTTTTTCTTAGCCAACCAAGTCGTCGACATTTATATGAACTAGATGGCATATGAGTTTCACTCAACTCCAAAATGTGGTGCGAAGCTGCGAATGTTGATTATCGAACAAAAAACAATATCTCAAAAAAAGCAAACAATCGTTTCTACGGTTTATCATGAAACTCTTTTTTCCAAAAGATATTTACGATTCACTATAATCAGACTGTTTTTCTCGTTGTAAATCGGAAAAATTCATGTTTCAATTAATCAGCTGATCGAAATATGAAAGAAAGTGAAAAGTAGTCACTACGAAATTCATTAATAAGAGAATTCTATTGACAGGAAGCAATAGATTTCTAATGAATACTAGTGAGTGATCGTTTCATTATTTCTCTGATTCATTATCTATCACCAGCTGTATTCACAGTTGTCTTAGCTTTAAGAAAAGAGAGTGGCGACTAACTTTTGTAGCCCTCTTCGTTTTACTAACTCGAAGATCGGAAAAAAAATGAAATTCAATAAAATTTGTCTTGTTTGCGCGCTATTAGTAAGCAAATGGAGCGTCTACTGGAAGATTAGAAAAAATTGTATCGGCTCAATATCGATACTTTCACGTCATATTGAAACAGAAAGTTTCTGAGTTTCTGTTCTCGAAATCATTGTGATACAAAATGACAATTTTGAGGTTATCCACAGGATGTCTCATAAGTAGTACTACAATAAGAAAATCCAAATAGTTCCACTCCGATTCAATCAAATGGCCTGATTTTTTGAGCAGTGGTAGAA